CCGCCTGAGCCGTCCTGGTCCTTGGACTGGGTGCACTTTTTTTCTCTTTTCCTAAGTTTGTGGTGGCACCTTCAGTTCAGGATTGTTTTTCCAAGGCTCTTTTTACAGTTGGCATTGGCCTGGGGGGTGTTGGGTTGGGGAGCTTCTTGCTCTCCATCAACACAGGGGTTTCTGCACTTTCGGTCCTGGTGTTAGGCATGTTCGGTTGGAGCCGTCTTTTCTGACGAAGAACGAGTCGGCGACTTCCAAAGATATGGCCCTTGGGTCGTTGATGCTTGGTTGGTTTGGCCTGGGGTGCATCATGTGTTGTTGCAGCTCTTCGCCGTTACCTGCACGCCACAGCCTCTGTGGCCGGGGATGCATTTTGGGTTGTCCCGGTCTCCCTCGTTCCCTGTTCTTGGGGTCTTCCAAGTCGTCCACAGGGTTATTCGGTCCAGCCAGTCTGCGGTTTATCCTCGTGCCCATGCTGTTCACAAATTTGCTGCTTTGGCTGCCGTCTTTGGCTGACATTCAGGCACAAGGATTTTGGAGGTCGAACAGGGTCCTGTAAACATTGCTGGCCCTAGTAGGGCGCGTTGCTCTGAGTCGCAGGCCCAGCTGTATAAAGCCAGTTGTCTTGACATCGATTTGAGGAATGAGTGGTGGCCGTCTCCCAGATAAGTCCCTCTTGTTCCTTTTCTTTGGTTAGGTAGCTCCGGGAAGCCTCCTCACAGAAAATCAGCGTTGAATGTAATGAAACACGATTTTCTGAGCGAGTCCCGAAGGCTCCTCCGCACCCTCCCTCCGGTCAGCGCTTTTCACGTTGTTTCTGAAGCTCGGCCTCGGAACTGAATGGTGGAGCAGCTGGTGCGGAAGATCCAAACCCTCCATGTTACCCTCCCCCACTTCCCAGGAGTGGGGGAGGGTGGCATGGACTAGTGCCGTGACACCGGGGTCTGATGTTTGCTTGTTTGCTTGTTTTAAAATTTGAGTTGTTTTTCTGTTCGGTCTTTGGTAGCAATTAAATTCTTTTTTAACCATGTGGGGTTTTTGTTATGCCTACCTTTCTAGATACCAAACCTCGTTCGATGGCATGGAATGTTTCCAAATACATAGGGGTTTCCATAGGCCTTTGCTCCTCGTACCTCTCCGAGGGGGTCAGGTTCTAGCTTGTCTCCCCCCCCCCCCTTTTTTTTTGGGGGGGGGGGGGGGAAGACATGTTTTGAAAGTGGCCCTGGAAATTCAGCATATCAATGAGAACACCAAGGAATTTACCATCTACTTTGTTACTAATTTGGATATTTTTATATTCTTTAGATTAATTTGATGAGAGGATTTACCCAACAAAATAAAGGTTTTATCAATGTTAAGGGTGAGTTTGTTAGCAGTTAACCAAAGATGGACTTCATTTAGTTCAGTATTCAATATTGTTTTTCTGATCAAGATGGTTTGGACTGGAGAAAATGAAGGTTGCATCATCAGCAAATAAGTGTCTTGAGGTGTTGAGAGGCATTTGGAAGGTCATTAATGTAGCTTAGAAAGTGTTTTCTGATTGTGCCTATGGTGCACCTACTCTGGCACCTGCACTGGCTCTATTCTACATTTCTGGCCACATAGTTCACTCCTATGTTATCATTTTACTGTACACATGTTGGACTTGACCTTCCATTACTTCCCATGTACTGTACTTGCCTAGTTGTGCTTGCAGGGGTTGAGCTCTGGCTCTTTTCCATGTACTGTATATTTTATGTGATGACACACTCGTCTCCTTTCCAGAATTCATTTTTAAATAATCCTAATAATTTGTGCTTTATTGGGTCTGTGTGCTGTATATGTTCACTATATTCCCTCTGTTTTGGCAATCTCTCCTACTCTGAAGGAGAGAGGGAGTATTGAGCAGTACTCAAGGTTGGACACCACCAGGAATTTGAATAGCGGGGGCAGTGTGGTGGGATTCCTGTATTTGAAGGTTCTCATAATCCATCCTATCATCTTTATGGCTGGCGCTGTATTTGCTTAGTAATGCTCCCTAAACGTTAGGTTGTCAGACATTATTATTCCCAGATCCTTGACATGTTGTTTTCCTACTATGGGCAGATTTGATTGTATCTCTTTACGTTTTATTTTGTCTCTTGTTAGGTCCAAAATTTGTTTCCATTCTAAAGTGGGAAGTTTTGCCACTGGTAGATCTTAATTGAGCCATTCTGCCACTTATGGATTATAATGTGGCAGCTTATTTATGAGCTCACATCATGCTCTGTAGGCTCTTGCTTTGGCTGTCGAGTCAGATCTTTGTTATTGTGAGAGGAGGAATTTAATGTCTGGTCCTTGCCACTTGTGAGAAGCCTTGTGGTGGTGCTGCTGCTGCTCTTCCTGGTTTTGTTGGTGGTTGTGGCACCAACATCAGCGAGCTGGGACTAAGTCTTGAATTAGCAACTAAAACCCAAAGGCCAATGGGGAATCTGGATATGGAGCTGCCAAACCCTCCTGCCTAACCCTCCCCCCATTGCAGGATGAGGCAGGAGTTATCTAAAGCTCTGTTCAGGAAGTCGAGAATTAACTCTGAAATGATTCATATCAAGTTATTGGGAAAAAATCTCCCATTCTAGGATAGAGCAGCAGAAGCAGCTGTGCTTACCAGGAAAGTCATTTCTCAGCTTGCCTCTCGGGAGGTAGCTGAGAGCCGATACCTCAACTCGGAGCAGGATCCAGATCAAACACAGCCTCACAGTGTGACTCAGTGTCAATAACAGCAACTCCTGCCTGACCCATAAGCAATCTACCTTAGGAAGAAATTTATTCAATTAGTGATTATGAGCATTGTAGCAGTCTGCCTTTTCTCTAGTCATTAACATAGACTAGAGGTTCAGATCATCAAGTAGACATTTGACACTACCCTGTGGTACACTGGATCCAATTGAGTAGCTTTCACCTTTTCTCCATTGAAGACTACTTGTAGTCTGTTCTTGAAGCTTATCCAGCAGTCTGTGGTATCGAACCCTGTCAAAGCGCATGTAATGTTCAGTGCAGGAATACAGATGATCTTGGATCATCTGTGACATCAGTGACTGATGTCACTTAGTGGGTAGGTTAAAAAAAAATGGCAACAGAATGACTTTTTCTGAAATTATATTTTTATCTACACAGCATTCAATTACAGACTGCTGTCATGTGTTAAGAGGTTGTAAGAATTTTGCCAGTAATATTGGATATTGCCAGGATATTGGTCTGTAGTTACCCACCACTGAATGGATCTTCCTTCTTTGAAATAAACCTACATTAGCCTTCTTTCATAAGGAGAGCCAAATGCCTCAAGCTAAGCAAAATTGTTCGAGACAAGTGAGAGGTGAAGCAAGCGAGTCTGCACAGCTGTGTAATAATCTCGGGCTGACCTTTTTTTTTTTTTTTTTTTTTTTTTTTTTTTTTTTTTTTGAGATATATACAAGAGTTGTTACATTCTTGTACAGCCACTAGTACGCGTTGCGTTTCGGGCAAGTCCTTAATCCTATGGTCCCTGGAATACGATCCCCTGCCGCGAAGAATCGTTTTTTCATCCAAGTACACATTTTACTGTTGCGTTAAACAGAGGCTACAGTTAAGGAATTGTGCCCAGTAAATCCTCCCCGGCCAGGATACGAACCCATGACATAGCGCTCGCGGAACGCCAGGCGAGTGTCTTACCACTACACCACGGAGACTTACCTTATCAGATGGCAAACTACTTTTGGTTTAATAGCTACTGCTGACAACTTTGACAATTCTTGAAACAAGCTATGAAGGCTGTTTTGGATCATAAAACTGCATTTTGGTAGCAAATTGGTCTGGTTGTAGGTCAGCTTTTACCTGATTGCTGTATGCAATACAGAAGTCCCATCTTCTTAATTTAGGGATGGTAGTGTGTGTGATACATATCCTTGCCAATCTTTAACTTTAATCCAACTTCTCATTCATGTTTTCTTGTTTCTGATTACCATTGGAGAAAAGATCATTCTTGAACTTTTCATTTGATAAGCTCATCTGAGAATGTTCCTGTTGTAAGCAAGATGACACCTTTTATATCTCCAGAGTTGTTTGTAACTTTAGCTGCCACCCTGCAAAGACAGGTGAACAATGGCTGATCAGAAGGTTTGATCTCACATATTGCTAGTGAAAATGTACTGCTGCTATGGATCCAGTATGTAATTTGGGACGATGTTTAACTTTTAGCATTACCCTTGTGAAGGGCTTTCCATTCCAGTGGAGTGGTGTTACATGGTTCTTGTACCAAAGCCAGGTGGTGCAAGTTTATTTTTCACCTTCATCAGAATAGTCAGAGTAGTGAAGACAGCCTGATGGTTTGATGAGCCAGTATGTCAAAGGGGTCCAGAATAAAGTATACATGCAGGTGGGTCAGTTATAAGAGGATCCAAGGCAGCACCTAAACTATGAGCTGGAAAAGTACAGGTATAGAACTGCTGAGAGTTTTTCCAGGTTCCCACCTTGAGTTGTTGAGGTCTTGCACAATTATGTTGCAATAGTAGTGTATCAAGATTGTCATTTTTGATGAGGAAGCACCCTACTATTGAGATCTACCCATTGTGCATACCAGAATAGACGTTCTGAGATTTATAAATACATGAACTTAATTACCAGAAGAATGGACATGACAAGCGGACATCCTCTATAGGTTGGGAATGTACAGGTTTATTGAAACTACCTTTCCTTCTTGGCTCCGCCTGTCACTGCCTCCTATGAGGTATAGCCAGCAATCTTAAAGTTCTCAAGAGTCCTTTTTATTTTTTTCCCCCCCTAAAGAATGTTTTCTATAAATGAAGTTTCCAGCTGTTTGTCAATGAATGAGAGTTTGTAAAACTATTTGATTGTATATACAAAATGTGTAGTCCACAAAAATACAACCTTTGTAGAAGATAAAATAGGGGAGGAGTCAAGGGGAGACTAATCATTTATTAGCCAGGCAGTGGATATGCAAATGCAATGTACTATTGAGGGATTGAACTTCAGAACCTAAATTTTGTTTGCAGGAGACATCACAGAAGAGGAGAAAGAGGCTTATTCTCACCTCAACATTGTGGGTATGGTTGGGTCTATTGACAATGACTTCTGTGGAACTGACATGACCATTGGCACCGACTCTGCCCTTCATAGGATCATTGAAGCGGTGGATGCCATTGCTTCAACTGCATATTCACATCAGAGATGCTTCATCCTAGAGGTCATGGGTCGACACTGCGGGTAAGTGAAATCTGCCCCTTTGTGAGAAGATGTGAAATATGTTTTATAGGCATATCAGTCATGGGAGTTAAATTCACATTGTGCTTTGCTATCAGTGTTTTTGCAACATTTATCAGATTTTAACTGAAAGCCACCATCTCTACTGGCCTCTATTGGGACAGGAAGCCAGTGGCTTGTCAAAGGTCCCCCCTCTCCTCCCCGTGTTTGAGAATTATGCCTTTATGACTTCAGTGGGTAGGAGATTTTATGGATTTTTAAACCTGTAGGTGAGGAAGGGAATTACCAGGAGAAAGTGCCAAGCTATTACAACTATATAGCACTTGGAAGGGTTCAGGATAAGGATTTGGGATAGGATAGGGGGAAAGAAATAGTGCCCAACCACTTGGACGGTTGGGCATTGAACGCCGACCTGCATAAAGCGAGACCGTCCCTCTACCGTCCAGCCCAAGTGGTTGGGCTTTCACCTATGAGTGACAAAGCATCTGTTTTCTGTCATTCACAGTGGCTTGAGTTTTTGCTCCCTTGTATGTGTTACATTTGGCTTATAATGAGTGGTCTGGATGAACATCCTCGGCTAGTTCAGAATTTTAAGTCTTGATGAGATGAGCCGTATGTCTAGTTTACAGTGACCCTCCTGACCATTGTGTGACCCTCACCATTATAACATGTATAATGTATATGATGATAAATTCAGATACATGTTAAATAATCATGGTTTGAAACAGTTTTATGTACAAGTTTAGACTTTTAGTTCTCTTTATACCCTGAACAACTATGTTTTTCTTAGTTTTTGCTGGAATAATTTTGTCTGAAAATCATTTGTGACAGTATTCCTTCTTAGCTAACAGTGTGGTGTTAAATGCTGTGATCACATGGCAACCTTACCTGGTTGATACCTGGTTGATGGGGTTCTGGGAGTTCTTCTACTCCCCAAGCCCGGCCCGAGGCCAGGCTCGACTTGTGAGAGTTTGGTTCACCAGACGGTTGCTTGGAGCGGCCCGCAGGCCCACATACCCACCACAGCCCGGTTGGTCCGGCACTCCTTGGAGGAATAAATCTAGTTTCCTCTTGAAAATGTCCACGGTTGTTCCGGCAATATTTCTTATGCTTGCTGGGAGGACGTTGAACAACCGCGGACCTCTGATGTTTATACAGTGTTCTCTGATTGTGCCTATGGCACCTCTGCTCTTCATTGGTTCTATTCTACATTTTCTTCCATGTCGTTCACTCCAGTACGATGTTATTTTACTGTGTAGATTTGGTACTTGGCCCTCCAGTATCTTCCAGGTGTATATTATTTGACATCTCTCTCGTCTTCTTCGTCTCGTCGTCTTAGGAGTGCACTGAGCCACAAAAATGTTCACATGTTTTGTATAAACACAATTTATTGTTTTCAAGAATTTCAAATTTGAAAAATAAGAATGATGACCGATGTAATACATTGAAGAAACTAATAATGGTTATCAGAGTTATAAGGTGAGATGAGGTACGGAAGACACATTTAATGAATAATGGGTGATGAATGACTTCTTGTGGCACAGTGCTTGGTTCTTGTGTGTGAAATTCATGTTTGTTCAGGGATGAAGGTGGCTATGGTGATTCTGTATGCTCTGTGATGACATTGACATTCAAAATATTTTTATGTAGCGTGAGAGTAGTAAGCTAAGACGTGACAACATTGGGTGATTTGACTGGGAGAATGTGCTTGAAGGTACAATGTGATAAGTAGGCTGGGTGTACCAGGAGTAAATGATGATGATATAAAAGTAAATGAAACTGCAAGAGGTCACCTAAAATACTGTTAGTGGTTTTGGGAAGATACAGAAATTAATTGCCAAAACCTGTACCTTGTATGAACAAATCCACAAGGGCCGTGATGAGAATTCGAACCCTTGTTCATTTGATGTATCACGCTATTGTGATTTCTGTGTGTACTGTACCTTATTTATTTATATAAATTACAGTTACTGAACTTGTAAGAAATTTGAGGGAATTTGAGACATTTTTCAAATAAAGACGTGTTATAAGCTCTTGTTGCAGTATATTACAAAATGTTGGCCTAGAAACAGGTGACATCTCACACATGAAAGGTTGTTCTGGAAACTGGAACATGCTGGAGGAGACTTCTGACTTGGATAAAAAAAAATAAAAATTGACAAAATTGAGGGCAGTAATCAGACAGGAGAATTATTACCAGTGGAGTACCACAGGGTTCAGTTCTAGCACCAGTATTGTTCATTGTCTATTTAAACCATCTACCAGAAGCAATACGAAATTATGCGAACACATTTGCTGATGATGCTAAGCCTAGATGTATCACCACCTAAATGCTGGTTGATACCTGGTTGATGGGGTTCTGGGAGTTCTTCTACTCCCCAAGCCCGGCCCGAGGCCAGGCTCGACTTGTGAGAGTTTGGTCCACCAGGCTGTTGCTTGGAGCGGCCCGCAGGGCCACGTACCCACCACAGCCCGGCTGATCCGGAACTTCTCTTAGAAAACCGTCCAGTTTTCTCTTGAAGATGTCCACGGTTGTTCCGGCAATATTTCTTATGCTCGCTGGGAGGACGTTGAACAACCGCGGACCCCTGATGTTTATACAGTGCTCTCTGATTGCGCCTATGGCACCTCTGCTCTTCACAGGTTCAATCTTGCATTTTCTTCCATATCGTTCACTCCAGTACGTTGTTATTTTACTGTGTAGATTTGGGACCTGACCCTCCAGTATTTTCCAGGTGTATATTATTTGGTATCTCTCTCGTCTCCTTTCTAGAGAGTACATTTGGAGAGCTTTGAGACGATCCCAATAATTTAGGTGTTTTATCTCGTCTATGCGTGCCGTATATGTTCTCTGTATTCCCTCTATTTCAGCAATCTCTCCTGCTCTGAAGGGGGAAGTGAGTACTGAGCAGTACTCGAGACGGGACAGCACAAGTGACTTGAAGAGTACAACCATTGTGATGGGATCCCTGGATTTGAAAGTTCTCGTAATCCATCCGATCATTTTTCTGGCTGACGCGATATTTGCTTGGTTATGCTCCCTAAACGTTAGATCGTCGGACATCATTATTCCCAAATCCTTGACATGCTGTTTTCCTACTATGGGAAGATTCGATTGTGTTTTGTACCCTGTATTATGTTTCAGATCCTCATTTTTGCCGTACCTGAGTACCTGAAATTTATCACTGTTAAACATCATGTTATTTTCTGCTGCCCAATCAAAAACTTTGTTGACATCTGCTTGTAGTTTTTCAATGTCTTCAGCAGAGGTAATTTTCATGCTGATTTTTGTGTCATCTGCAAAGGACGACACGAAGCTGTGGCGTGTATTTTTGTCTATATCAGATATGAGAATAAGGAACAGTAGCGGTGCAAGGACTGTACCTTGAGGTACAGAGCTTTTAACATCGCTTGGACTCGATTTTATCTGATTGACTGTTACTCTTTGTGTTCTGTTCGACAGGAAATTGAGTATCCAGCGTCCTACTTTTCCAGTTATTCCCATTGACCTCATTTTGTGAGCTATCACCCCATGGTCACATTTGTCGAACGCCTTTGCAAAGTCTGTGTATACAACATCTGCATTTTGCTTTTCTTCTAGGGCTTCTGTGATTTTGTCATAGTGGTTGAGTAACTGTGACAGACAGGATCTTCCCGCTCTAAATCCATGTTGTCCTGGATTGTGCAATTCATTGTTTTCCATAAAACTAGAAATTTGATTCCTAATCACTCTTTCAAACACTTTTATTATGTGTGATGTTAGTGCAACTGGCCTATAATTTTTTGCCAAGGCTTTACTCCCCCCCTTGTGCAACGGAGCTATATCTGCAGATTTAAGTGCTGCTGGTATCTCCCCTGTATCCAGGCTCTTTCTCCATATTACGCTGAGTGCTCTCGCTACTGGTACTTTACATTTCTTTATGAATATTGAATTCCATGAGTCAGGCCCAGGAGCTGAGTGCATAGGCATATTATCAATTTCTCTTTCAAAGTCTTCCGAGTTTGTGGTAATATCCGTTATATTATCTGCAGCTTGAATGTCATTCATAAAGAAGCTGTCTGGGTCATCAACTTTCATGTTGTTTATTGGTGTGCTAAACATAGCCTCATACTGGCTTCTTAGAATTTCACTAATCTCTTTGTTGTCCTCTGTGTACGTACCTTCATTTGTAATTAACGGTCCAATACTGGTCGAGGTTTTGGATTTTGATTTTGCGTATGTGAAAAAATATTTCGGATTTTTCCTTATCTCTTGTATAGCTTTCTGTTCCAATTCCATTTCCTCAGACTCATATGATCGCTTCAACGTTTGTTCTATTTCCTCAATCTCCCTGCTTAGGCTTGTTTTCCTTGCTTGTGATAGTTGTGTCTGCCGAAGCATTTCAGTTATTTTTTTCCTTCTCCTGTACAGTCGTCTCCGTTCTCTTTCTAGAGTGGTCCTCTTTCTGCCCCTCCTCACAGGTACGTGCTTCAAGCAGACCTTGTAAGCTTCAGCTGTCAGTTGAGCTATTCCCTGTGTGGGAGTTTTGTCGCTTAAGACCGTCTCCCATTGAATGGTTGCAAGGTCTACATTTATTTTTTCCCAGTCAATCCTCTTATTGTTGAAATTGAATTGATTGAATATTCCTTCTCGCTTGTTGGGTCTCTTAGACCTACTACCGTTATTTATGCTAGTTCGCACTTCAATGAGCTTATGGTCTGAGTATGAAGTATCTGAGATTGTGATATCCCTGATTAGTTCATCATTGTTTGTGAATAACAAGTCTAGTGTGTTTTCGTTCCTAGTTGGTTCTGTAATCTGTTGATTGAGCGAGAATTTGTCACAGAATCTCAAAAGTTCTCTAACCTGTGGTTGGTTATTTCCCGGGTCATTCCCTGCTATGATATTTGTGTTTGCCGTTCTCCATCTTAGACTCGGTAAATTGAAATCTCCAAGAAAGATAATATCTGGAGCTGGGTTTGCTAGGTTGTCAAGTATGTTCTCTATTTTGTGCATCTGTTCTGTGAATTCCTCAATCGTTGTATCTGGCGGTTTATATATTAGAATAATAATTAGGTTTAGTTTCTCTACCTTCATTCCAAGTACCTCTACCACCTCATTAGTTGAATTTAATAGTTCTGTGCATACCAGGTCTTCTTTAATATACAGACCTACTCCTCCATTTGACCTAGTTTTTCTATCACATCTATATAGATTATAATTTGGAATCCAGATTTCACCATCCATGTAATCTTTTGTATGAGTTTCCGTGAATGCCCCAAATATTGAGTTTGACTCTAATAGAAGGCCATTTATGAACTTAACTTTATTTCTTGACTTTGGCTTTAAACCTTGAATGTTTGCAAATATGAATGATTGTCCATATTGTGTGTCACTTCTGGAAGGTTTTGGTAGTTCTCCCTCCTCTCTACCCTGACCCAGGGTGTGTTGTTGTGGCAATGGTTTGTCCAGTTTTGGAAGTGATACTGGGGAGTGTGGTAGTCTGTGTAGTTGGGGGGTGTAGTATGTGTGGGCTTGATGACGAACTGTAGTCCAGTCTTGGGCATTTCCCCCTCTCCATCCGTACTCCTGCCACGTTTCTGCCTGTCTGTTTCTCCCTCTGTTTGTACCTGCCTCTAAAAAATTTTCAGGGCTATTATGTTGGACTTCTTCTCTTATATGGCGCTGTGTACCTCTGACGTGGAAATCGGGGCAGTGAAGATCGTAGCATTTCCTCTCATTGACTGAGAGTGTGCATAGCTTAGGGTGAAAATATCTACACTCTGTATCAAAACGACATCTGCCTTTCCCTAACCAGTTTCGGCATTTCCGTGGGTGCATGAATGAGCATTCCGTGCCTCTGGGCCCATATCTACACTGTCCTTTTGCATAATACCAGCAAATATTTTCATTTGTGATTGTATTATTCTTGTTTGTACCCGTGCACGACTTGGCTACCTCTGTGTTTTTTGTTCCAACTTTCTCGTTTCTGCATTCATTCTCGGTATTGCCCTTATCTTTCTCCTTGTTGCTTTAGTCTTTCTCATTTGTGTTCTCATTCGTCTCATTTTTTCTCTCCTTATTCATATCACCAGTGTGCTCTACAATATTGCCTTCATTTTTGTGTACCTCGACACTATACCCTTCTACATTGCTACTTTGACTCTCTAACTTCTCAGTCCCTGGGTTGTGTTCAGAGTTCGTTGCTGTCTTTATATACTCTGCATATATTTCTGGTAGTTTTTGTGTGAATTGAAGCCTGTGTACTTCAGGAATGTTATTCATTAGTTTGGTGATGTTTTCCCACAACTGTCTGTCTCTTTGACAGATCCAGTAGTTACCTTCCCGGTTTGCATATTGTGTAGGTAATCCTGTACAACTCAGGTGAAACCTTATGTTACAAATGTTACATACAATGCCTACAACACTCTTCCGAAGTGACTTAAGGCAGCCTCCACACACCTCCATGTTGGGTTTGTGATGTTATAATAATATATGCATATATTTAAGTATTATATGTATGTATATATAATATGTATCCAGTATATTTATAATATTACATATGTTTATTTGTTCAAGTTTATGTGGGGGTACTTATCGCCTTGTGGAGAAAATATGGTCGTCTTGGGACCGTCCAGTTGACCGTTGTTTGTCCCAGGTCGGGGGCAGGATGGGCAACCAGGATGTCACTGGTTGCCAGTTACTTGATTTATACACTGATTATGTGCCTGTAATATCCTAAGGGAATTACTGCTTTCTTCCGGCTTGCAATGTTATTCACTTACTCTATTACTAGTTCCTAGCTCCACTTTCCCGTATTACCGTATATATTGCCAGTATATTATCACTGAGGGAGTATACTGTTACTGCGGGACGTCCTCTACACTGTGTAGGCCTCGTGGCTGTGTAATAAACAGCCTAGTGTGATGCCTCCTCCACAACTTTACATTTATACTTTTTCTTTGTACAATTCTCTAACACTATCCACTAATTTATATGTTGTGTTACACGTTCCACTTCACTGTTCAACGTATCACTGCTCGCTATATTTGATATATATCGCTTATGCCTGTACACATGAGCCTGGTGGCACTGGCTCACCACGTGGGACCACCTTTATTCTGTATTTAACTCAAATTTCCATTGTTAATTTCTGTATTCTATTTTCCTACGGGTCACTATGCACTTGGTGATCACTGTGGGCCGTAATCCATGGTTGTAATCCTAAAAAAGCCCGGTTTATTCCAGTGTTTTAACGGAGCGCGACGACGACACGTCTGTCCCCTCCCCCGCGAACTACGAACCCTACTAAGCCTACTATGAACTACTAACCCTACTAAGCCTAAGAACTACTAACCCTACTATGCTAAGCTACTAGGTGGTCATGATGCTACTAGGGAAGACAAACTTTGACAATTATTATTCCTTTGAAGAAGACCTGGACAAAATAAGTGTATCAAGCAATACTTTGCAAATTTAATTTAACGTGAATAAATTTGCATTATGGAATATGGAGTAGGAGCAAATATGCTTCACACAACTTGCAAGTTATGTGAAAAAGCCTTAAAAAATTCTGATCAAGAAATAGATCTAGGGATGGTTCTGGATAAAAATTGAACTGTCACCTGAGGATCACATAAAGAACATTGTGCAAGGAGCATATGCTATGCATTCAAACTTTAGAATTGCTTTTAAATACATTACATGGATGGTGAAATATTAAATAAACTGCTTATGACCTTTGTGAGACCAAAATTGAATATGCAACAGTTGTATGGTTGCATATTCAAGAAAGTTACATACTCGTATTCAATTTTCATATCTCAAGAAGCATATCATTAAACTGGAATAAGTGCAAAGACATGAAACTAAATGGTTTCTGGAACTGAAAAACAAAAACTGTGAAGAGAGGTTTTGGCTTTAAACCAAAGATAGAAGAAAGAGGTAATGATCACTACATATAAAATAGTAACATGAATCGACAAAATTGAGAAAGCAGTTTTGAAAACTGGAACTTCAAGTACAAGAGTACGTAGGTTCAAACTAAGCAAACAAAGCTGCCAAAAGAGAACATTAGAAAGGTCACTTTTGCAAGTAGTGGGGCTGGCTCAATCCCATCATATGGCCTAATTATTTTCTAGTGATAATTGGCTTATATGATTAAAACATCATATTGGACATGTGAAGTTTTTTTTTTTATTTTCTGGCTTCCTTAATCTGTATAGCGCACACAAGCTTAGATGTTGGGGGAAAAGTTTTGCAAGTTGTCGCCCAACAAAGATAGTTTGAAGGGAGAAAGAGGCATCAGAGTATAAATAGGTAAATGGATGTTTAAGATATTATCAGTGTGAATGTATGCAAATGGATACTCCATACACTCAATATTTAAATATATTTTAATAAGATTTGTTTTCCAGGTATCTGGCTCTCGTAGCCGCTCTGACCTCCGAGGCAGACTTTGTTTTCATGCCCGAGTGTCCCCCTCCTGAGAACTGGCGGGATAAGCTGTGTAATAAGCTGCAGCAGGCAAGATTGATTTCCTCTTGTTTTATAATTTGTTTGCTTTTCAGGCCTGCACCTTCATCACTTTGCTAGACATTGCTACGTTGCCTGCGAGGGTGATGGTTGCTACTTAGCATTAGTTCGTATTAATCTTTTTTTTTTTTTCATTTTCTATATTGATTAGTGGTTATGTGCCTGGATAAGTGTAGACTTTCGTGGTGTGATGTGTGGATAGGTAGATGACTAGAATGGAACTATTGCACTTGCATGTGACTTTATAGCGCCAAACGCAACAGGACACTCACTATTATTTCTTTATTTTCAGGGGAGGTTAATTTTATATGAACCATATTTGCTGACAACAAATTTTAGTTTCTATGATTTCTTTTTCCACTCCCTCCTTAATTTCTTTCTTGCTAACACAACACACACACAAATTTATCCATCACATTTTAAATTAACAAATGAATGCTTAATGAATAACTTGGCACCCTCCAAAAAACTTAATATATGGATTGGCTCAACCATACACAATAAATTTCACTTCGAAATACAAATGCCCTTAACTCCTTAGCTATTTGAGTGTGTCTGCTGGCCTATCCTGTGAAGCAGACTACTTGTTTATTCCCGAGTCTCCGCCTAGTCATGACTGGCCGGATCATCTGTGCCAAAAGTTGGAATCGGTAATATGAAAACGTATGCTTGTGCGTGTGTGTGGCTTGCAGTTTTACTGCCCAAGAGTTTTGGTTTTAACTTGTATTATTACCCACTGTCCTTGCTTCCTCATGTTAACTTCCCAGCAGAGGGTGGCCACAGTAGATGTTTCTCCAGGAGGTTCTGTTACCATACAAGCCAAGGTCTGAACCCTCCTCTCACCCTTTTTCAGTACTATTCCACTCTTCCCTTCCATGATACTGGTGTTCTTCCTCTTCCATATGACCCCCTTATTTCACCCTTGTACACCCTTTCGTTAAAAGCTTCTCGGGCATCCGACTAACATGTCTCTGAAGTTACAGTTTGCATTTATGATTGCATTAGTTTAATCTTGTAATCTTAATATCACGTTAATTAATTTAATAAGTGTTGAGCAAGGTAGTGCCATTGTTTGACTTGGAAAAGGGGGGGCTGTTCTTACTTAATATTTGTGACTAGGTGTTTATTCAAAGCAGTGAGATATCAGGTAGTCTTCTCTGGAACTGTTATAAAAATTTTCATGACCCAAATATACTGCTTATTCCGTATCTATGATAATGTCAGCATAATTCCCAAGTGTAATTTCCAAAGTATAGTTAGAGGATGGATCTTCCAGCTTTGGCATATTAAATGCCTCTACCCTCTCCTTACTGCTGTTTTTTTTTTTTTTTTTTATTTCTGAAAACTATTTAGTAGTTTGTCTTCATCCGTTGTAATTTAGTGAAGTGGTTCTTGAGATAGACACCATCGTACAACTGCTGCATATTCCAATTTAGATCTCACAAGAGTGTAGTTTCTTTAGTATTTCTCCATTCATATATTTAAATATATTTTGCTAGCATAGTGCAGACTTCCCTCACAAGATCCTGTGATCCTTTCTGTAAGAGTTTTTTTTATCTTTTCACATAATTTATAGGTTCTGTTGTCTAGTTTCTTTTCCCTATTACATATTTCATTACGGGGCAATTATTTACATTGAATTCAAACTGCCATGTGTTATTTCATTCACTTATTTTGTGAAGGTAATTTTGAAAGGTATGGTAGTCTTCAGTCTTTTACTTTCCCTAGTAACAGCATCTTCAAACATATTTGTGACTGTGCATCCCCCTCTGGTAGATAGTTTATATAAACAATGAACATTTATTGGTGTAGGGAGTGAACCTTGGGGTACTCCACTAGTGACATTCTCTAGTCTGATACATTTGCCTCAAATTACTGCTCTCATTTTTCTGTCTTAATTTTTTTTTTCATCGAAGTGTGTCTTGTGGGACTGTAAGTGCAGTCAGCCCAACCTCCTTTCTTATAGGGTGATTATGTAATTACATAAGTGTAGTTACAGGATGAAAGCTATGCTCGTGGTGTCCGATCTTCCCAGTATTTATATAATGCTTTGTATAGAGGGGTGGTGTGTGTATGGGGGGTGGGGAGGAGGGTATGCTGGTTGTTAATTGGGGAAGGGGGGGGGGGTGGAATGGTGCAAAAATAATTAACAAACATGTCCAACCATTTCTGGACAAGGGATTCCAGAAATGGAATTCCTGGGATTCGAACCCGGAATTCAGGCTATGTATGCACAATCGACTTCAGAATGGTCCAGGACGGACCGAAACGTCGTCGTCCCTTCTCCTTTTAGTGTGTGGTCTGGTCAACATCATTAACAAAGTTTGCAGACTGAAGTGTAGGTTTTTGGGAGTTTGACTTACTACCAAGAACAGAATAGATGCAAGGATGAACATGGATTATCCCTATGAAGCCTTTATCATGAATCATAATAATGAAATTCACACTTCAAAACTTGGTATAAAGATAATTGACTGTTCTGAAAGCATGTAATCCAACACCCAAAGATAGTCATCTGGAAGACACCAGCCCAAGTGTAACACATTTCCAGCATAGTTAGATACAACACCAACACGTTGTTTGAAGTTAGCTTAATGTTATAGTGGAGAAGGCCTGAAATCAGGCACAGTTCCCCAGGATGTGAGTGCAGGCATAAATGTGTGGCTTGCTAACTTAACTACACTGCGAAGCATCTGGGAGAATTAGGACAAGGCAGCAGGGTACAGTGGCGTAGGAAGATGATCTCTGAGGAAGAGTGATGGGTCATGTGTGGGGTGACTGGATTTACTGACCTAGTGGGCCATCTAGCAACAACTTGACTCTCCTTACTGGTTACCTTGATGTTCGGTAGTGATTGAAAGGTTTTGATTATAGCTGAATTGACCTTCTGTACGTTATTCCAGGCTGGATAGACCCCCCTCAACACCTTCCTTGCCCCAGTATAACTTTGTGGGGATGTGTTAAGGGCCCTCCACTACACCAGGGTAATGTGTCGACATGCCTTGATCGTGTCCAGTCCTGTTCATGTGAGCAGCAGGACCTTGCCCAATGCCTAAAGCAGCAGCTGATTGTAAAACTCTGAAAGTAGATTGTTCGAGCTGATTTGAAATGTTACTTAGAAGACATGCTGGTTTCTTATATGCTACTTAGCCAGGAATTTAAAATTTGGATGAATAAATCTGTCAACATTGGGAAACATAGATAGTTGCAGATAACATTTTTCCAGTAAGATCGTTGTTAAAAGCCCTTATAGGCAAAAAATCTATCAAAGGAACATCACCACAAGTGCATTTTTTTCACAGAAGTTGGATTTTGCTTTGGGCATGTTGCATGCCCAATTCTCCTCCCAAAAGACATTAACCTCCAGACCAATGAGCTGCGCATGCAGCTCTGCAATCCTGGTAACCGTTGCCAGTGGCATGATCTTTGTCTTGAATGTTACATTAGTCAAAGATGGGGCTGCCTGAAGCTTCTCTGTACCTGGGAAGTCCAGCATAATAGTGAAAGAACAGACAGGGTTTTAACAGCATTTGGGAAGGACTGTTATTGATAGTGCTTGGCCGAGCTGTAATATGGGAGGCAAGATTGAGTGATGGAGAAACCACGGGGGGGGGAAGAGGTTCCTACATGGTAGTCATTTAAGTAATAGTATTCAGCATTAACCCTTTAGAGGAAAAATAATCATGGTTGCTGCTCCTCCAACACCCTCTGACCACACATTTTCCAAAGAAAAAGGAGGGCAGAAAAGAGCATGGACTATACTTGGAACTGTGACATACTGACTCAGAACCCAACACTTGTAGGAAAAATGTGTTGCAAAGTAGCAGAATAGTGCTACAAATTAAAGAAAATAAGGCCAATATTCCAGATAATGGTTAAAAGAAGAATTATATTAGGATTTTGAGTTTGCCATGGGCAGTGCTCATATTGAGCCAACCCCTTCCCACTCTCCCCCTCCCAACACACACCTCCATCTCTTCTGTTTAAAGCTAGCCGTATTATTTGCCTCTGATGTCTGGCAACCTGTTTCAGTTGTATACTGAAATTAGAATGTGAAAATTAAAATGTATAAAATTATACATTATCTAATGAAATTAGAATATGCAGCAGTTGTATGGTGGCCAAATCTCAAGAAGCACAAATAAACTGGAAAAGGTGCAAAGGCATGCTATAAAATGGCTTCAGGAACTGAAAGAAGAGTTACAAGGAGAGAGTAGAGGTATTAAACATGCCAAAACAAGAAGATACAAGAAAGAGGTGATATGATCACCACTAAAAACATACTAACAGGAATTGACCAAATTCCTGTTAGGAATTCCAGAGGAATTCTTGAAATCAGCAACATCAAGAACAAGATGGCACAGATAAGGCAACAAAGATGCCAAAAGTACATTAGGAAGTTTTCTTTTGCAAACAGAGTGGTAGACAGTTGGAACAAGCTAAGTGAGAAGGTGGTGGAGGCCAAAATTGTCAGTTGTTTCAAAGTGTTACACATCAAAAGAGTACTGGGAAGTTGGGACGTCACGAGTGTAGCTCTCATCCTGTAACTAAAGTAATTAGAGATACTATGTGCACAAGCAAATACGGAATACAAAGAAGGGATCAGGAGTGACCAAGAGTTACGCTCAGAAAGGAACTTTACATACAAACTCCAAAGTCTCTTGGTGTAGAATGGAATGTTCTCTAATACTCTTAGCACCAGTTGAATTCTGCAGGGGCTTATTGACTCTGTGGTGCAGGCTAATTGACTCTGGTGCAGGTGTGTATAATTAGCTTTAACTAGCCTTAAAGCCTCTCCTTTGGATACAGTTGTATTTTGCCTTCAGAAGTTGACAGATGATCAGTCATTCATTATCCGTACCATCCTTCCTATTCGTTGAGTGGAGAGCCATTATCCCAGAAGATAGGAAAATAGAGACAAGGCTATGGATGCAGAATTTAGAGAGGCTAATCTTGTCTTTAGTGAGGTTACCTTGAGGTGCTAGTGAGGCATAAAGCTTTGGAAGATATTCTCACCCTAGTCTCCCTACCAGGGTTTGTGATTAGTATCGTGATTAGTGCTGTGGTTGCCACAGGTCTAGACTTTTTGTTTAATCTGAGAAATATTTAGTCCTTAAAGTTAGGCAAATTTTTAGAGGTCCAGAGAGTGTTAAAGTTTTTTGCTTTATAGCCTGTATGGCATGCATGTATGCTTCTACTAGATAGTTTTCTTTTTGGCTAAATATTTTTAAGTATAAACAAGGCTGATCTTCATATGATTTCTTTGCCACTTCTTTTAGTTAGTGTATTTGCTCTCATTCCAGTAAATGTCTATTTACTTACAGAAAATCATATAAATAATTAGAAAATTAGTATATTTTGGTAGCAGTCATTCCTGTAGACATATATTATTAAATATGACCGAAAAAGTAAGATTAATAATTCTAACACAAATTTTCTCTTATGTTTCTTTTCACTGTCGATGGTAATTGAAAAATCAGTTCTCCAAAATTCATTTTTATTTCTATTCTGACGCAACACTTGAACGTGTTTCGTAATAATTTATTACATTTTCAAAGACTTTAGTTTACACACACAAACTATAACCTGCAAACACTAAACAGATTTCTTACTATGCTATAATTCAAACGGCTTTTCATTTTATATACCTGCATTTGGGTGAGGTGATATGTTACAACAGTTTTGGATGAGGTGAAAACAAACTTTCAACACAAAGTTGAAAGTTTGTGTTGAAAGTTTTTCACCTCATCCAAAACTGTTGTAACATATCACCTCACCCAAATGCAGGTATATAAAATGAAAAGCCGTTTGAATTATAGCATAGTAATAAATATGTTTAGTGTTTGCAGGTTATAGTTGTGTGTGTGTGTGTAAACTAAAGTCTTTGAAAATGTAATAAATTATTACGAAACACGTTCAAGTGTTGCGTCAGAATAGAAATAAAAATGAATTTTGGAGAACTGATTTTTCAATTACTATCGACAGTGAAAAGAAATATAAAAAATGTTGAGAAAATTCATGTTAGAATTATTAATCTTACTTTTTCGGTCATATTTAATAATCAGAAAATATATACTCTAGTGTTGATACTGTATGAGGAATTTTGTTTTTTGCACCAATTTGTCATAGGCATAGGTTGATAAATTATGCTGACAATTGTATCGTTTTCAGGAAAGGTCTATGGGGCAACGTCTGAATATTATTATAGTTGCTGAAGGAGCAATTGATCAGCAGAATGAACCCATCACTGCTGAGGGAGTTCGTAAGGTAAGTCTATCCTGTGTTGATCGGTTTGCTCTACAGAATGCTATGCTCCAGGCAAACATTTTATGGTACAGGGTGTATACTGTCCTCCATGGTAACATTTTATGGTACAGGGTGTATACTGTCCTCCCAGGTAACATGGTACAGGGTGTATACTGCCCTCCCAGTGTAACGGGGGGTGGGGGAAATAGCTCTATCTTGTCCATTATTCCACCCCCAGTTAACTAACGAGGCCGGGGAAAACAGCTCTCTCTAGTCCGTTATCCCGTCCCCAGTTAGCTAACTATTCTAGAGCACCTCCAGAGTTCCTAAGGCAACCTCTCTCGTTCAACACCTTGTAACCTAGGTATTTGACTACCTAGGTGCTAAGACTACAAGACACCGTAACTTGACCAGCTACCCGAAACTCTAGAGAGAACTCTAGAATACATTTCACTGCCACAAACGTATAAGAGAAAACGAAAGGAAAGAAATGAATAGTGAAGTAATTAGTGAGGGTTTAGGGTGAGGGGTAGAGAGGTGGGAGGAGCGAGGAGGGTCATTAGTTGAAAGTGAGAGTTTAGAGAGGGGTGGAGGGAGAGGAATAGATAGGTAGAAGTAGAAGAGTAGATAGTAGAAGTAGAAGAGTAGATAGGAGAAGACGAAATGCTGCCACCATCCATTCAAGACCATTACCTACAAGACAAGGAATGGAACTTGTCTGTATCACAATATTCACAAAAGATGTTATCAAGAGGTCATTATTAGTATGTCCCATCTTTATCATGTACTCATTAAATCATGAAACCAGTAATCACAGAGGCTTTCTCACCTCACCTCAACTCTCTAGGGAACAAAGACAATTTAAATAATAAATTCAATTATATTTTACATACTAAGTATCATACTTTAAGGCATGTTCAAGATATATATAGGTAAAGTGAGTCATCCTCCAAGAATCTGAGAACACTACAACTGACTGCCCCTGATCATCACACAACACTTGTAAAACACGACCAAGTCACCTTAATGTTCAACTCACCAAGTGTCTGCCTATAGCTGGATAGGGGGGGGGTCTGTAGTGGACAGAGACTGTCTCGCCCTGCCGGCCGACAGCCTCCCTGTTAGGCCGTCTCCTCTCCTCTGCTGGCTGCTGTTCTGTTAATGCTCTCGAATCGATAGCTCTCCGAGTATATATTGGGGAACCTAGTAGCTAACTCCGCCCACAAGTAGATAGCCTCCGGCTCTCTACCAAGCCACTCCTTAAACGTCGGCATGTTTGAAGGCTACCAGGCTCCAATTATAAGATTAGTAGAAGTAAGGTGAAATTCGCATGATCTGACCTCAGGTCACTTGGGGTGATTAACTCTTAGAGGTGTGAAACTCAGGTCGACCAAGCTGGCGCCTTCTCAAATCCCTGTCTGTGACTCATGTACTCTATGTATGTATTAAATACAACTAAACCAAACACTTTTATAGTGTTACACCAGGTAACATGGTACAGGGTATATACTGTCCTCCAAGGTAACATTTCATGGTACAGGCCATATACTGTCCTCCCAGGTAACATTTTATGGTACAGGGTATATACTGTCCTCCCAGGTAACATTGTCACAGGTATATACTGTCCTCCCAGGTAACATGGTACAGGGTATATACTGTTCTCCCCGGTAACATTTTATGGGACAGGGTATATACTGTCCTCCCAAGTAATATGGTACTGGGTGTATACTGTCCTCCCAGGTAACATGGTACAGGGTATATACTGTCCTCCCAGGTAACATGGTACAGGGTATATACTGTCCTCCCAGGTAACATGGTACAGGGTATATACTGTCCTCCCAGGTAACACTTTATGGAACAAGGTATATACTGATATTCTCATTATCATTATTAGTATTAAGTACAGTAATTGTAATGTTTTCTCAGATATAATCATTTAAGATAAAATCCCACATTTATGAATTTGTGTTTTATGTAGAGATTTGTATCGAGTCTTTCGCACACTCTTGGGCGCTTTGTCAAGGTCTGAGTGTATGGGGCCCGGTAGTATATTCGTGTTCGTTCTCACCACACAATCGAGAATTCTGGGTTTGAATCCCGGGAAATTCATTTTTGAAATCCCATGTCCTGAAATGGTTGGACATGTTTCCTTCCACTTAATGTCCTGTTCACCTAGCGGTAAGTAGGTACTCGGGAGTTAGTCAGCTTGTTGTGGGGTTGCATCCTGGGCGGGGTCAGTAATTCAACTTGGGGGGGGGGGGGAAGAGGCTTTGATATAAGCCTAACATGTATGAATACACTCTGCCTTCCTGTTCCCTGATACAATAAATTATTATATATATGACACACAGAAATTACAATTGTGTGATGCATCAAATGAACAAATCCACAATGGCCGTGACGAGGATTCGAACCTGCGTCCGAGAGCATCCCCGACGCTAACTCAGTCGATTAAGGCAGCGTCTGGGATGCTCTCGGACGCAGGTTCGAATCCTCGTCACGGCCCTTGTGGATTTGTTTATTTTATATATATGATTAGGACAATACATATATCTGAATGGCTAATCTCGATTGAGATGCCATTGAGATGCAAGTCTTGTCGTAACCATGTACTGTACTCAGACCTTAATAAAGCACTCGAGTTCAAAAAGACTCAATGTAAATCTTTACATAAAATACACAAATAATAATAATTATTAATAATAATAAAATTAATAATGACAAAATATTTATTAAAATTATTTGGGTCCTTAACATAAATATTTGCTTCTCACTTTTCTAATGCACTACTATTCATGTATAGTTCAAAGTCTTTCAAGAACTTAGACCAGCTTCCAATATGTATTGGAACTTGGTTTATTAGAAAATGTCAAATAACAATGTTAGTCCTTGCCTTTAATTAAGTATTGCTTATCATTAGGCATGAAGATTTAGACCATAATTATATATATTTTTTGCACCAAAATTTAGGTTTTGAATTAAGTGGTTCATTTCAGGTCATTGTTGAGAAGCTTGGCTTTGACACTCGTGTAACCGTGCTGGGTCACGTTCAGCGTGGTGGTTCTCCCTCTGCCTTTGATCGTCTTTTGGTAAGTTTTAAACTTGGTAAACACATTCCCTTTTAGGAGAGACTACTAGGTATAATATAATAATAATAACTGGGTATCCCAGGTGGTGATCCATTTTGATTACTTTTTTTGGTCACTGCTTGATTGCTGAACGGAGCCGGTGGCTGAGCGGACAGAACACTGGGCGTGTGATCCTGTGGTCTCGGGTTCGATCCCGGGTGCCAGCGAGAAACAATGGGCAGAGTTTCTTTCATCCTGATGCCCCTGTTACCTAGCAGTAAATAGGTACCTGGGAGTTAGTCAGCTGTCATGGGCTGCTTCCTGGGGGTAGAGGCCTGGTAGAGGACCGGGCCGCGGGACACTAAGCCCCAAAATCATCTCAAGATAACCTCAAGATAACCCTGAGAATGTCGAAAGCATTGACATAAAACTTAACGGTTATAAAACATAGCTTCCTTTTGAATTTGGAGTGTGCAGTCTCTTGTTGCCATTATGGGAACCACTTTTTGACTTGTCAGTCTCCTTTCTTTTCATTTTGTATGTGTGGGTTGGATTATTTATTTTTGGCCACATTGTGACTTATTCCCTGCAGCTCTTGGATATTGTTGCTGTATTGGAAAAGTGAATCTACATAAAACTAGACCCACACAATGTGGCCTTAGTTCTCATGTAAGTTTATTGAATACAAAAAGTACTGTAATTACATTAGTATGATTATGAAAGTTTATTTAAACAAGATAAGCTTGTGTTCCTGTTTCCCTATATTATCATCATGGAATTGTATGTGGTGTTAGCCTGCAGTGGTGTTAGCCTGCAGTGGTGTTAGCATACTCCCTTATTGTTTTGTGTCGCATGTTTACATGTTCCTCCCATCCTCTCCTCATACCTCTTATTTTTATAGTCGGAGTTATTTAATAGCTTGCACCTTTTGCACTTTGATCTGTACTGATGTGTTTGTGAGGTCCAAACACCAAGTACAGTAAATTTGTCAAGCCTGACCCCACCCAGGCCGGGCTTCAGAAGAACAACTGAAACCCTCTCCAGGTAACTGCTGCAAAGGCTAACTTGTGTGTTTCATTATGTTCATACTGTATTCAGTAACACTAAGTTTTTCTGATAACTTGTCTTTCCTCCAGACTAATTTTCAAGTGCATAATTGGGACTTGCTGTTTGCATATTTCTCCCACTCTCTTCACTTGGTCTATTTTGTGCACCACACGTGACTAGCCTGTTCCATGAAGGTGGTTACAGCTCACCAGGGGATACCTAAAAAATAGGTACAAGGACATTTCAAATATTTTTAAATATGGGGAAGTATGTTGAATTTTGATTTGCCTAAAGAACCTTAAGACATTTTTAAATTTCTAAGATTTTTAATAAATAGATACTGAAGTGTTTGATGAAATATTTGACAATGCAGGCGATGAGTCACAATAACGTGGCTAAATTATGTTGACCAAACCACACACTAGAAGGTGAAGGAACGACGACGTTTCGGTCCGTCCTGGACCGTTCTCAAGTCGAAGTCATTCTCATCAACTTGAGAATGGTCCAGGACGGACCGAAACATCGTTGTCCCTTCACCTTCTAGTGTGTGGTCTGGTAAACATATTTGACACTCTTGCTTATTATCCAAGATGCATTCAAGTATAATAATGTTTTTCAAACTACAGCACTGTACTTTAAATTTATAATATTTCTTATTCTAAATTATTAGACATTCATGCTACTTGTTCATTAAACATAACGGGTCTCTGGTGTATTTGCAGGGTTGTCGTATGGGTGCTGAGGCTGTGCTTGCTCTCATGGAGGCTACTCCCGAGACGGAACCATGTGTCATCTCTCTCGATGGCAACCAGGCAGTGCGGGTTCCTTTGATGGGCTGTGTACTCAAGACTCAAGCTGTTGCTCGGGCTATGAAGGTATTGTAATTATTTGTTTATGATGATTTTATTTTAAGTTATCCTTGTGCTCAATTCTAATTTACACACGGAAATAAAACCACACAAGACCAGAAGGCGTGGCATGAAGTGCAAAATAGGCCTGTTGAAAAGCAGAGGTGCAGTTGATGTACTGAGAAAGAACATTAAAGGCCCAACACCTCAAAACTACCTCTCGACATAAGTGGCATAACTGGCTCGCCTCTCTCAAAGGGGAACTTGATACACCTCCAAAGAATACCTGATCAACCAAGCTGTGATTCATACATCAGGCTGTGAGCAGCTACATCTGATAGTATGGTTAGCCAGACCACCAACCGGGAGGCCTTATCCAAGGCTGGGACACTGATCCTCGGAACCAACGCAAAGTATCCGCAAAGTAAGGTAGGTCTCCTCTAGTAGTCCCATGTTGGCTTGCCATGTTTTTGGGTGTCATCTCCTGAAGTCAACAGCAGGTTTACTCTGGATTATACTGTAGATAAATAATATATTTGAAAGCCATATTGTTAAAAAGTTGAGAATTTGGCAATTTGTTAAAATTCATTGGCAACAAATGAGTAACTGTGTGGGAGATTGAGATTGGGGCAGGCATCTCTCTACAGATGTGAGAGGAGGCAGTTGCTGCGGCAGACACGAGTGTAGAGGTAAATTGAGCATATAACTGTGTGTATTTCAGAAACCGATATTAATAAAAAATGGTAATTATTTAGAAATTCTCCATACCCAAGTATGCATATTTGGAATATGGAAAGAAAACAATTATTACCTCATATGCAAAGAAACCTAATAAGAGGAATTTTTTTCCCCCAAATATTTTGAAGTTATTGCAGAATGGTGTCACAAGGGTGAGAGTTTTGCCTTCTTCGGGTTAAGTGTTATTTCATGACGAGGGCTATGCTTATGGTAATTATAATCATCCAAGTGTAATTACCCAAGTGTAATTACAGGGTGAGAGCTATGTTTGTGGTGTCCAGTCTCCCAGTACTGTGCTGTCATATAACACTTTGAAACTACTGATGGTTTTCGCCTCCATCACCACCTCACTTGTTCCAACCGTCCAACACTCTCTTTGCAAAAGTGAGCTTTCTAATGTTTCTTTGGCAACTTTGTTTCCTTAGTTTGAATTTGTGTCCTTGTTCTTGACTTTACACTTTTCAAAATGTTTTCTTTGTCAATTGTGTCGATTCCTGTTACTATTTTGTACGTAGTGATCATATCACCTCTCTTCTATTTTATAACTTTGGCATATTTAATGCCTCTAACTTCTTCTTGTAGCTCTTGTTTTGATCTATTTGTCTTGGTTGCGATTTAGCTGCATGTCTTTGCACTTTATGTAGTTTAATGATGTGATTCTTGTGATATCTTACAACTGCTGCATATTAAAACTTTGGTCTTACAAACATTAATTTCTTTAATATTTCACCATCCACATATTTAAGTGATTCTAAAGTTGGGAAACATAGAATATGCTCCTCACGCAGCATTCTTTGTGGTATTCAGGTGACAGTTTTCTAACAAGAACTGCCCTGAATTCTTTATCAAAATTCTCTAACCCAGGTTCTGGCTCGTGGTCCCTGGTAGGCCCACAGAACTCCATACACACTGATGCCAACGTCTGACATTAGCATATCAGTGGTATATGGAAAAATGGGAAAATGGCCTCTTCATAAATAAAAAAAAAAAATCCTAATATAGTAATAATTTTTCAGCACAGAATATTTTTTATGCAATATGTAAGAAAAACACTAAAATTAATTAATTTTTATTGTTTTATTGGGTGGAGGCGCACTACAACGCTGTGTCTGTCACTTGTCAACACCTGGTGCTTGACTTTGCCGACTCTTCCTGTTTTATCCTCGGATGTTTCACCAATTGTTTTATCACTTGGTTGTCCTTGTTTATATCCACAGAGCTGTTATATCCATACAGTATCCACTCAATTTAACGGCCTATATGGGGCTGTACCCTAGTCGTTATTTCCGAAGTTAAGTCGGGTCGAGTAATTTTTCAAGTAACATTCAGGTAGGATATATTTTATACTGTATAACTAAAATTAAATAAAGTTTATTGTGTAATTACATTCCAATTTAGTGCACGGCCGACGATTAAGCCAGTTGCTGGCTGCTGCATGGATGATGTGTGAACACGCTCTGATCAAGTCCAGATGGGTGGGAAAAAATTGATTCATTCCTTTGTATTGCAAAATATTTCATGTATCAATCAGTGAGTTAATATTGTCTTAATAAAATTTTAGAGATGTGTTTTGATTTACCCTGAACAGTGCAGGTAATGTATTTTTAATGTTACGACACAGGCTGTGGCGGCCATGCCATAACAATGGCGATCGAGCCTTGTCACTGAGAGCTAGCCAAGACGAAATATTTTGAGCTCACCTTTTCTCTGCTGACGATAGAATATACATTTGCAGAGACTAATATGTAGCTTTTGTTGAAAAAAAACAATTAATATCTTGTAATACTATAATAAAATTGGTAAATTGACTTACTTTTAATGAAGCTGAAGATTACGAAGCTGTGATGATTACGTCATCCTCTGCAGCGCTTGTTTTATATTGTTTATATTGTATACAGGGTACATACTGTATGTACACTTATTTTCAGGCACTCACTTCACACAACAGCTAGCCTTACTACTAATTCACATGAGTTCTAATTCTACTTCACTATTGACAATTATTTCTACTGTATATTTACACTGTACAGTATCTTTTTGTCTAGGCTTAATTAATCATTAACACTTACAATACTGTACTCTATCAACACTTTTTACACTAATTTATATGCCTTTCAATCATATTTTATATCGTTAGTGGATGACTTGTCACGACTTGTTGGTGGGAATTCAGCATCGGCGGGTGCAACATGGCTTGTAGAGCATTCGTTGCTGGCGGATGTTCCACGACTTGTCGATGGGAATTCAGCATCGGCGGGTGCAGCATGGCTTGTAGAGCATTCATTGCTGGCGGATGTTCCACGTCTTGTCGATGGGAATTCAGCATCGGCGGGTGCAGCATCGCTTGCAGAGCATTCATTGCTGGCGGATGCTCCACGTCTTGTCGATGGGAATTCAGCATCGGCGGGTGCAGCATCGCTTGCAGAGCATTCATTGCTGGCGGATGCTGCACGACTTGTCAATGGTAATTCAGCATCGACGGGTGCAGCATCGCTTGTCGACGAAGATTTTTCACGAACCGTTGAAATCATGAATTTATCTTTTTGTCTGAATCTGATTTTCTCTGGCTAACGTTCTGAGACATTGCTTTAAGGCTGTAAGATGTACATAAAAATTTCCAATAACCTCATGTTTACTTTTTATTGAATATCAATGAGTTCCTCAACTTGTTCCAATCTTTTCTGATATCCGACACCTCTAGGCAGAGCCTCACCAACATCGTCCGAGTCATCATCAGAGTCATCAGAGTCATTTCCGAGAACACTTTGCGCAATCTGTTCTTCAGTTAACAATTCATAACCAGGATCGTAATCATTTTCTAACCATTCATTGATATCATTCACTTGTACACCCTGACCAGCTTGGAGCAACATTGTTCGGATCGTTTCTTCAAACCCTTCAAAATCATTGGCTTCATTTTCAAAACCTTCGAATTCACTATCAGATACTGCTGCTTCACATCTAGGCCTCTGTTAAGTTTCTTCCATGAATTTGTTAGTGTGGTTTCTTTCACTTTATTCCAAAGCCTAGCCCAGTGGAATATTGCTTCCCTGATTGTGTACTTTTTTAGATTTTCTAGTGTTCTTTGAGCCCTTGTATCCTTTCCTGTCAACTCATCTTCCTCGCTAGGTAAAACAACTAAAACATCTTCAAGCATTGCTGTTTGGTACATACGTTTAGCAGCAAGGAAAACACCTTGGTCCATGGGCTGGATCAAGGATGTTGTGTTTGATGGAAGTGCCATGCATTTTATTCTGCCATCCCTTGAAATTAACTTGCTAATGGGATGAGCAGGGGCATTATCTAGCAGCAACAATGCCTTAGCCTCACTGCCCTTTATTCCACATTTGTTGATCTGGAATTCTCTGACTTCTTTGCAAAAGTGGTTTTCAAACCAGTCCGTAAATATTGTTTGATTAAACCATGATTTCTTAGAATTGTAATATATTACAGGTAATGCCTGCATTATATTTTTTAAGGCTCGAGGATTTTTAGACTTGCCTACCACGGCACATTTTGTCCTGTGAGAGGCATCAGCATTAGCACAGAGCAAGACTGAGAGCCGTTCCTTGCTTATCTTTCGTCCAGGAATATTTTCCTGCATCCTACTGGTTAAGGATGTACTTGGTACAGCTCGCCACATAAACCCAGTCTCGTCAGCATTATATACTTGATATTTGCTTAAATTATTACTGACAATGTACTCGTTTAATTTAGCCTTGAATGAATCAACATTAGTGGGATCAGCACTTGACGCCTCACCAGAAATTTTTTTGGTGTTTGAAATGTTATGCCGAGCCTTAAATCTTCCAACCCACCCATCACTTGCATTGAAATCTTTTATACCTAATTGAATGGCAAGTTTACTTGCTGCAACTTTAAGCTCTTCAAATCTTATTGCCATGCCAATTGTGCGGTGCTGAATAAACCACTTATACACTGCAGCATCCAATTGTGGATACTGACCAGACTTTACTGTTTTTCTCGAACATGCAGCACCAGAAGTAGCACACACACACTAGTAAAATGGTACATAAAGGCAAACCAACAAAATCAATAGAGAGAGGGGGAGTGAAGAATAAGGAGAAGGGGAACAAGTTCCTGAAGAATTGCATACACCAACATAGATGGAGTAAGATCGAAGATACTGGAGTTAAGTGATGTAATACAGCTGCAGACACCAGACATTGTTGCACTCACGGAGACAAAACTTGAAGATGTAATTTTAAATGAGGTCATATTCCCAAGGGGCTACTCAATTTGGAGACGGGACAGAAAAATTAGGAAAG